TCACGAATCTAATAGGCCTACTTATCTTACTCAATATTGTAATAAGAGTCTCCTGCCGTCAAACTCTATCGAAAGTTCCGTCTGTGCATGGTGAGAAACCAAGGTCTGCGCAGTTTGTTTAGTTAGAAGTACTATAGTAGACGTAAGTAGTTGGTGAATGCATGTCTATCACCAAAAGAACAAAAGTAGTTCGAATTAGTTAATAAGCAATGACAATGCTAATGCATTTGGAAATGATGTGGAACAGTTCAATAATTTTCAAGTAAATTAAGTAAAAGTTAAATTATTTCAAATTTGTAATAACTCTTTTGAAATTAGGGGCAAGAGCTGGGCTATCCTGCTAGAGAATTGTTTTCAAATAATACTGTTTGGAAAATTTAGTGATAGATACACTTATTTACATTCCATTATTTACGTATTCTATATCCAATTATATTATGAGAATATTATACCATAATAACATACCTTCTTTGTTAATTGATCTTTCTGTTCCTATATTTTATTATTATATGGTTTTATAAAGTAATATGTAATTCTGTGTAACTGTAATTCATATGAAAAAAATCGATAAACAATGTGTTTAAAAGAAGCTTATTGAGTAAAACATTTTCATTCATTAAAATTCACGAAAACATACTTATGATAAGTATATTGGAAAATGGATTTGTTGGAATGCGATTTTGTTTTCATAAAATTGCTATGTTAAGGAGTCAGCAATGAATTTTTTGTGCAAGTTCTGATTATACATACATAAAATACACAGTTGACTTGGATACTGAATGAATTATTATTTTTCTCCCGATATGATGTATAATTTTCAATATTTGACAGGACTTCCTATAAGCTTCTCATATTGTTATATGGTCTGCTATTCAGCTATTGAATTAAATTAATTATGTTTTCATAATTTCTTTCGGTGAAAAGAAAGTTGTGTTCTAAAATTTTGTAATAATTTTTAGCACATATATATTAAAATTTCCACATTTCTTTTAAATATTGCATCTATTCAGTACAATAAATTAATCATTATAATGATTCAATACAAATATTACCTAAAACTTGTGAATGTGGTTTAATCTAAAAGATACAAGAAAGCAACAGTGCTTTCAGGAGTAAAATATGCATGCACTCAGATAATAAATATGGGTTAAAATTGAATTTAGTTTCTAAGACGGGGATATTCCTTGTACTTACTAGCATTGAAAACTAAGGAATATGAATCAATTTTGGGTTTCATGACCATCCAGAAAGAGACTCACAAAAAGTCATCCCCAGTTGTTGTAATCAAAGCATGGCATCTTTTAACAGGAGTATAACCCAGGAACTCAAAGGTGAGTGGAAAAAAAGCCGTCCTCGTATCCCATATATCTGTACATAAATACACTTAATAAATAAGGATGTTCATCAGGAAATGTTTTCTCCATTAAGTTTAAATATAATACCGCGAGCGAGGCAAAATAAATTGACTGATTCTCTAGCACTACGAGTTTTAAACCCAAATGCCTGCCAGTCATGAAATGAAAAAAAATGTGGGAAAGTAGCACAATTAATGTATACACAAGTTGTTTCCATTATATATTTGTCCAACTAACGCATGCCTCAAGCAACAGGAGAATAAAACAGGTATTAATGTTATTCTTTACAAATACATACTGGTCAAATTGCTAGATGCAGTGCCATTTAATTTTTGTGCTATCAGTGTTGAAATGGGTGCTGGAAAATCAGTCTTCATACATTTGATGGGTCATAGAAAGCATGCAAGGAAGAGAGATGAAATAAAGACACGTCAGCATTTCCACACACCCTCCTACAAATATATCTACACTGCAGAGCTACTGTGAAGATGCATGGTTATCAGATATAATATCATTGAGCATTGTGGCATGGATTGTAATTACTTGATTATAATAAAATCGTTTTATTATAATGTAATCAATTTTTATATGACATCATGCTTTCCATGAAGATGGCAGTAAACTCAATCTACATAGTGGTCATACTGCATTAAATATCTTCTAACTTGTCCAATGTACCTTCCCACACGTAAGCATAATCCAATATCAAGTGTCTTTACAATCTTCCAAACCAAAATGTGATTTATTTTTGTTTGTGAGTTTGTTGTGTGCAAAAAAAAAAACTATTCCTCTTATGAGCTAAAACCATTTCATGGGTGTGTACAAAATCAAGAGACTCTACATGCTCTCTCAGTTTACCACCAAAGATATATCACGGTAACAGTCAGAAACTTGCAGCAAAATTCCGTGCAGAATAATACCAATATTGGCTTTACCAGTATCAGTTTGTTTAAAATCATTGAAAGTCTGATTGTTATTCCAGTTAGAACTCTTTAGCATATATCATTAGTATTACAGTGTCCTATCCAGCATGTTTGAATGTATTTAGAATCTTCAGTAGTTCAACAGGAGATTTAAGATTTAGTTTCTCGTATATTATATCTAAGAATAGACACCAACTTTGAATTATCCTGCTGATAGTCTTCTTTGATAAAATGGTAATTTATGATGCTATCTCAAAATATAATGTATGCTTCCATATCATTAACACAGTCATCAGTTCAGCTTCTTTTTTTTTTTATATATATAAAGACTTCTACTTATATCGATTGACGTAAAACAACCAGGATAACTGGCCATGCGAATGAATAGTTCAGTCAACTTCTAGAGCAAAATATGTTCATCCTGGTTAAGTTCACCTTCGATGAAAAATCAGATGGCTGTTTGCAACATTCAAACTAAAATGAAATTATTTTGGAAATTCTTATTATCAAAAAGGTTTTCAATTTTTTTTCTGTTAATTCAGATTTCTTAATAAGTTTGTTCAAATTCATTCACACTTTCGAATTTCTCGTAGCATCCTGCTTACTCCCTAACTCCTCAATCATTTTTGTTTTCATAACAGTTCTTTCTAATTTTAATTAGTTCTTCATCTAGTGTTTGCAGTACATTCAGTTCATCATACATTCTACTTCTCATTGTCATACACAGACCAAAGCAAACACTCATATGACAAAAGCTAAGACTCTCCTTGATCCAGAAACAGTAGCCTATGACACTCATCCAAAAACTTTCCTAAGAGGTTGTTCGTTTTCGCACAAAATCAATTCCACAGAAGTCACTTTCCCTACTTATCAAGAAGACTCCAAGTATAGTCTACCCCCATTGGTGCCAGACTTTTCAAGCACACCACAGTCAAGCAATAATTCTAAGCAACAACTCCAACAATGTTCCTGAAGGACTAGCCAATTATTTCTTTTACTCTATTTTTATTAATATCCTCATAATAGAGTCATCGTAGCTATTCCTGCATACTGTTCTTGCTAATAAAGTCTTTTTCTTTCAATTTAGCCTCACAGTTCTGTCAACTGTTACTATCACAATTTCAAATAGCCTGAAATTGAGTTAAATTATACTTCAAATTTAAGAGTTAAATTGTACTTTGGATTTAGTATTTAAATATATTCCGATATATCTCCAATTTATGATATTTGCCAACAAGATTGATAAACACGGTTTTCTTTTTTTAACACAAATATCTTTTAATATACAAACAATTTACACAATAACAGTTATTACAACACACAATGATTTACATACAAAAGTTTTACAAACTTAGAAGTGATATAAAGTCTTCTTTCTAGTCTGGAACTTCCTTGATATCTTATCGAGGGTTCACGATAGAGAGTTAATTAAGAGTTGATGTAGGTACAATTCGCTTAACGGGGAGCTAGCTAGCTTTGTCCTTCGTTCTTCTCCAGCCACACACGCAGTTTTCCACCGTTAAGTTATATAATGTTTTCGTAAAAATACTAATGTTCGATGAGAATCCACTGAAGTTAAATGATTTGTTCAAGATTATTGCAGGGGCCAAAGGTGAATGAAACCTCCATATACACTATTTTTATTAATGTAGTTAAATTTTAGGGCAAGGTTTGAGGTTTGGTTATGGCTATAAAATACAAGATATCCTGGATCTGCAGAGTTATTAGATAGTACTAATAACATTGCCCACTTTGCTGCTCAGCAAAATATGAGCTTGATGAAACTTTGTAGAATGGACGGCAACTGCCTGTTGTAGAGACAAGTGTAGAGGAAGACGTTTTGAAAGTCTTCCGCCTTTCATCTTCAGGTCAGTGTGTGTAAGGTGTTGTTGGTCTTTATAGTATTCTGGTGGATTGTGGAGAGCGTGTTATGATTGGTTGTTTTAGCACTGTTTCTGATTGGAGGCGAGATTTCCTGTAGATTCAACCAATGGTAGCCACAGGTTACTCACCTCTAATCCAAAATCTCTGTTTAGTGAAGGTTTAACTGTGTTGATATAAAATGATTCTTTAATTTTTCTTGTCCATTCTACAAAGTTTCATCATGAATACTGTTCCTAAACAATCTATCAAAGAAAAAATATGAGCTTGTTTGACTGACTGCATCAGCTAAGCCACTGGCTGAAACCAATAATCCTACCATCTTTTCTGCTCCTATGGAAAGCTCCTATACCATGGCTCTGCCAGTCCACAAGTGAAGTAGATACTTCATTCCTATTGTTCCAGACAATATCCAGGTGGCAGAAAAATTATAACTCCATTGGTAGACTTGGATAGCCCTGTCCAACTAACTGGAAGGCAATGTGGTTGCATCAAGTGGTAGGATATGTGGTTTGCTTGTAGTATGGGTAGTGAAATAAACTTTATTGCAAGTGTACAACATTTTGACAAGCTTATATCATCAACAGATACTATATTGAGGAAGATAATATCTTTTCTCCTTTTGATGATTTTTACATTTATGTTAAGAAGTTTAGAGATAGTTGCACAGTTTGACAGATTTACAGTAATAGACAAGTGAGGAAACGTACTGAAAAGATATACAAAAGATAACAAAGACAAATGTTCAGACTTACACAACCTCATGTAATCACCATGACACATCCAGATTTGATGACAAGTAACCCACTTTTTAGAAAATAAAGTCCGAAGATTGCTTGAATAGGTAGTGAAAGAAACTTTATTATAAGAGTACAAATTTCAACAAGCTTATGTCCTCTACAGGCACCAAATTGAGGAAGAAAATAGTTTTTACTTTTGATGACAACAATTTATTCTTTAAGTTTCAGTGATGGATATTAAACCTATAATTTGATCTGTAATAATAAAAGTGATACCTTTTAATTTTATAGTTATATTTCACCTTTATTCCAAAATTCTACATAAAACAAATTTTGACAATTTTTTAAATTCTTTACTTTTACTCTTAACTTTCTAGAATTAACTAGTTATTTCCCTATTTTAAAGCAGTGTTCTTTTATATCTACATGTAAGTTACAGTAATTTTCCATGCATTTTTGACTTGCATGAATATTTCTATAAAACTTCTAAATTTTTCAAATTTCACAGCTTGTTCCTTAAAATGTGTTAATTTACCTCACAGAGGACAATGAGAGATCAATAATGTTCAATTCCCAAATATTTTTATTTTAATGGTTATTGGTATTTATACTAGTATATTTATGTATTTTATTAAAATGCTCTATCCTCACAATGTAAAGAAACATACAACTATACAGTACACTAATTTTCACATTTACTCTCATCGCTTTAAACAGTCAAAGCTAAAAAAGTACTTATATTTTCTAGGAATTCTCTTTTGGTAACTTGGTCTAAATACTTGTACACCACAACATTCCACATGATTCAAATAAATTTAATTCACATGTACAAGGATTTTCTGGAGAGAGAGAGAGAGGAAAAAAAAGTTCATAAACTAGATATTTAATTAAAAGGATTATAGAAATGAAAATTCAATCCAGTCCTTCTCGTTCTTTGAACTGTTTCTTCAATTCTTGTAATTTTTTAGCTTTTTGCTTCTTCACCTTATATTTTCTCTCTTCAATTCGTTTCTGCTGAGAAGATAAACTCATATCACCATTATAATATTCATCAAGTCTCTGTTGTAAAATCTTCCTAGCAAGTTGTCGATTTTGATGAAGCAATCTTGAATGATGGCATTTAACACATATCCCTACAAGTAGATATTAAGATATTGAAAAAAATCAGGGGATCACAGTTGTATCATACTATTCTATTAAGTGGGTAAGAAATAACATCTATTTGTCATTTTTCTAAAATCCAGATCACCTGAACTCACTCCAGGTAAAGTGTATTACAGAAACATTTTGTAAATTTATGTTCTTTGATTAAAACTTCTCTTATTACCAAGACATACATTAAAAAAAAACAAAAAAACATTATGTTTGATAATGATATAAAGTTAAAATTTTCTTTACCTGAAAATGTATTTCATATAAATAACAACTTTTCCATAGAACTAGGAGCTATTATATTGTTTTTGCTGAAAAAATTTTGCACGTGTGCCAAGCCTTTAAATGAAACTCCCACCCCAACCTATATTAACCCTTCCATTATTGGTTGGGTGGAATCCACTAAGTTTGTAACCACAAAAGTAACCATACTATGATTTTTGATAATGTATGCATATCGTTACAAGGCTTTCGAACACAAAATATCAGATTTCTAAATTAAGTATTAAGATTTTTAATTAAATATTTTCTCAAACATTTTTTCTTTCAGTATGTTGAGTATCCAGTATGAAAAGTAATTTTGATTTTAAGATTAAAAATACTTTTATGAATCAGAACATTTTCAAATTTCACATGCCAAATATTTATAATATTCAGATAATTATCAAATATGTTTTAAAAAAAACTTTATATTTTATCTGTTATTTTCACCACTGTATCTTTGTACTGGTTAGTTTGATTTGACCAACTTCATAACCTCCATAAAAAAATTAGGATATGGATATAAATTGTTTTTTTCTTTTTAGAATGACTACATATTATAAAATGAAAACACAAATGTTTGGTCTAAATAGCTTAAATTTTATAACATTATACATTTTTATTATATTGACATTTCAGCAGTGCTTGGCTAACATTATAGAAGTTGCAAGGATGCAGCGCACATGCATTCACGTTACCATATCCAAGAATATAAAATTGGCCTTTACAAAGTAACCTGTCTTGGCTATATTTTAGTAGAGTAGTATTTTATGAAATACAGTTACATTTCAGTTTTAATACATTATTACTAATTACAAACAAGTTCTTAAACTTATTTTTCTTAAAATGTTGAACAGTAAATAAAAAGTAAAGCAAACAATTATTTCTTCTAGTTACAACATTTGTATTCATTTACTGCTTGTCATAGGTTGCCAAGCCTTATAAAATTTCACATGTGGAGAATGTGATACGATATATATAAACAAACACACACACATTTGAATAACCAAAAAATCATAAATTACTATATCAATACCATGGAATTCCACTATAATTTATCAAGCTTAGTAACTAGGCTGTATTTGGATCTTAAAAAATATGAAATTTTGAGCAGACTAAAGACACAACTTACCAGCATGAAGATTCGTACCGAAAGAACATGACATCATAATACTTGAAAATGGCTGAGAAAGCCACTAGGGGACATTCTGAGCTTTCGATTGGTTATTCACGTCATAGACAGAAGTGTATATAAGAGTATTTCCAAAAATGGAAAGAGGCGATTGAACCACTGTGTTTGATTCAGTACATGAGTGATATCTTGGCAAATAGAAATAATAGGAGGTTTTATTTGATATTCTAGCTTGTCAATATCAGTAATTTGAGTTCCTAATTTGGACATCACAAACATCTAATTTGAATAAATGCTACATTCAATATACTATGTAACACACAAAAATAAATTGTTATGACAGCGGAAGTCACGCAACGCTGGGAGCATGTTTGCTGGAGTTTCTCGAAGGATCATGAATTTTACTTGCAACTCTAGTTTGATGCAGGCACCCTCTTTTTTTAGTATATAAGCCCGGCAAATAAAGCCAGCAAAAAAAGATAGAATTGCATAGATATAGAGATAGATAATTGAGTCAAGTGAACAGTAGGCACCATAAGTAAAGTGTGTGAATCGCTGTGAATTATAGTGTGTGTTTATAAAAGTAGTTAAGTTAAAGTGACTGTGGAAATTGTGTATTACAAAATTGTATCAAGAAAGAATAAACTAGTTTTATTTAAGAAAGGACTTGTATCGCTGAAGTTCCTCGGAAAGAATTTATACTGGAAATTAACAAACGAACAGAGACAAAACACAATATTTAGGATTTCTTTTTTAATATCTACTTTTAAATTACGAAATTAACTAATGGCTCATACTAAAATTGAAATTATAATCTACAATTTGATACCACATTTATTGACATACATTCATAATAGTTCAATGAAATTTTGAATGCAAATCAACAAACACGATATGATATACCTATTGACCTATGACCCATAGTAATAGGATTAATGTGTTATGCCCCAGGAAATGATGCAATCAGCATCAGACTATAGCCCTTCACCAATAGGAGGATATCACATCCTCCATAATCACAAGTCTCCTTGAGCACATTGTGTATTATCAAAACCTCATTTATGAGACAAAAGAAACACACCAGACGTGTGGAAGAAAGGCGGTTGGTTTTGTGGAGAAGTAAGTATATATTTTAAAAGATTTTCAGATAAAGAAGATATTAACTTCTGAAACACTACTCACTTCTCCATAGAATTGAGAGCTAGAATCCCCACTGACAAGACTGTGGACAGACCATCATAGATTAAAAAAATTAAAAAGATAAAATCTTTCTGAGATATACAACATAAAGGGGAAACTTTTGGAGTGTGTCATCCACTGTGGCAGTGGGGACCTATGGGAACTACAGTCGGTAAGAGAATATGCATTCACCTTATCTCATTCAGAGAATATTCTTCACCCAGTAGAAGTGGCAGAGCAAAACATTCTGTCAAAAGAAACTCCAGTGCATTACTAAAGCAGGGTTTGCAGTAGTACCAGTGGTACCAGGTTGCAGGTACCAGTACGGACCAGGTACCAACAGTACTAGAACATCTCTAATCATATGACTTGAGCAGTTAGAAATTCAACTATTCTTCCCAGTGTGTTCTTGTGGGAAATTTTTTTTTTCACATAAAACCAAATTGTCAATTATTTGTAAGCCTACATAATATGATGACCAATGACAATGAATCAGTAGAAATATAGGCTTTCTATTGATTATAAATTTAATGGGAGTTGGCCTAAAAAAAATCTATTAGCAAACTGTAAATTAGAGCACGTCGGAGGTAGGCATGGAAAGTGGTTTCTGAATTTTCATAGATTGGATAAGATTGAAGAATATAAAAATACAGCTTCAGAATACTGATGATGAAATTATAAAGAATATTTTGTTACATTTCGTAATTTTTTTAGTGGGTGGACCAATAAAATCCAGAAGAGGACACGCTCAAGAACAAATATCCAAATTCTCACTCTAGGGGAATTTGATATTGTTTTAAATATTTCCTTATATAATTAAGAAATTATAACTTATAAAATATTAATATTTCATTTATTATCTATGGTTTGATGTCAGGTTTGCTCTTCTCCAATGATAATTAAGTAGTTTGATTACATATTGAATGTAACTCACTAAAATATCATGACAGGTCATGCACAGTTTGACCTACCCACATGCTAAAGATTAATCATGAACACACCTATCTAACTTGCAATCAGTCACACTGGCACATTCTCTTCCAGAGCATGGGAGTTACCAGTTTCCCATATTTCATGCTGTTGCCTATTTTGACAGCGAGATTTGCTTATCAACTGAAGTATGAACACAAAACTACAACATTAAACATTTATAATTCTGTGAAAAGCAAAGCTGGAATACCAGAGGAGGCATTCGGTAAAAACTCCGAAGAAGAGACGTGATAAGATATTATTATCAACGTATGATATACTATAAACCAGTACCGGTACTGCCAAACCCTGTACTAAAGTTCTGCAAGGGTGAATGGAACATAAAGGGGGGCAGAGCATGGTAGGAACTATAAGTCAGGCCATATAGTACAAAAACTATACTTATATGGAATATTTATAAGAATACAAAGATGCAGAGATGTACCATAAGCTTTATATTCAATTCACATGTACAAAGATTTTCTGACAAAACAAATTGTATATGTAATTTACAAACTTTATTTAAATCAGAGTGCAGCCCTTCACTAATAGAAGGGTGTCACATCCTCCATAAGCATTAGTCTACTTGAGCACATTGTGTATTAACAAAAGCTCATTCATGGTGAGACAAAAGACTCACACTGGAAGTGGGAAAGAAGAGTGCTTGATCTGAAGTATTTTGTACATTTATATCCATTGATTAAAACTTCTCTATTACCAAGGGTGTCACATATACCTATAAGTTCTTATTGAAGAAAGAGGGTGACAATACAGGACAAAGAGAAGATAGTCACATGATGAAGAAGGCTCATGCACAATGGTAGCCCATGATTCAATAACAACAACTGGAGAAAGAGAAAGAATGTCACATTTTGTGTAATCAAAACAGTATTTTCTAGTTAATATCCTTTCTTAGATTAGAAGACCAAATCATACCCAGTATTCCATGAGAGTTCTAACTAGTGATTTCTCTAAAGGTAATAACCTCTTGTAGCTTGTAATCAATATGTCTATAAAGACATCCTGAAATTCTATCAGTGTTACTACTAGCAACAGAGCACAGCCTTGATGAATTGAATGATTTGTCTTACAATTTAGTGAGTTTCCAACTATATTAAATGTGTTATCAAATTTGTGGTACCCCAAATGCATTATCTTCCACTTACAATAAATAAAGAGGAACCAGATGACTGATAAGAAAGGCTTAGAAGATAACTAACAGAACCAGAAGAAAGAAAGAAAAATGGCTGGGGAAGAGGAACTAGATGGCTGATGAGAAAGACTCAGAAGAAAAAAGTGGCAGAACAAGAGAAAAGAAAAGAGAATGAGTGAGGAGGAGATGGAAGATTTAGAAAAAGATAAGGCCAATCCTGACTTAGAACTCTCTGAGTCCAGGACTGGTGATGAGAAAAGTGGAATTTTGGTGTTGAAAAAGTCACA